TCTGAGCGATATCACGTGATGATAGAGGACTATTTTTTGCCGCAACTTGAAGGACTGGATATGGACGATGTTTATTTATAACAAGACGGTGCAACATGCCACACAACCAACGTCAATATCCATCGATTGCAGTCCTTCTTCGGTGATCGCGTGATTTCGCGCAGAGGAAATGTGCCATGGCCACCAAGATCGTGCGATTTGACTCCCTTGGACTTCTTTTTATGGGGATATTTGAAAAGCAAAGTCTACGTCAACAAACCAGCCACCCTCCAAGAACTCAAAAACAACATCATTGCCGAGATAAATGCCATAGAACCGACCATGTTGCAAAATGTCATTGAAAATTTCAACCATCGCGTGAACGTCTGTAAATCCAGTCGTGGTGAACATTTGAGCGATATTATTTTTCATACATAAATGCTATAAATGAACCTTCAAAATAAAGTACCCAACTTGATTTGAATATCAATCTTTCTTGTTTTAATATGCGTTTACTTTCCTGCGTCCGTTTTGGACAACACCATATGTTCCAAATTTAGATTCATTTATTAAAATTACAGTTTTTGTTTGTACAGCAATACAGCCATTATTTTAAGTTTTAGAAATAAAGACCAGAACGTAGCTTCCGGATTGCTTTTAGTTTTATGTCGCTTTGCACCAAGAGGGAATGTTATATCTCATTCTACTTTCAAGTAAGCCTAAGTAACAATGTAACTAATTTATAATAAAGGAAATCTTTGCTAGTTGTGTAAGCAATTGGTCGTACATGATTAGTGAAATCTAATTTATGATCAATAGTTAGACCTAAAAAGTTGATGGCGTCTTGTGTATCAATTCATTATTTAAATTTATAAATGTCATAAATTTTATCTTAATAACATTGGAAGTTAAGTAACTGTTATTACACCATTTTTTGGTTAAATTTTTTAATCCAGTATATTAACAGAAACATAAACCTGTGTTGAGATAAAACCCGAGTGTCCGATATTTGAATGTGATATCTATATTCACCGGGCCATTTTCTTAGGAATTAATGTATTCCAATCACTTCAAATGATTTGACATGATAACATATTCATAACTTTTTGGGTTATTCAAATTTGTCAAAGTTTACAATTTTCTGGAATTTTACATTCGTGTCTATTAAAATTACATCACTATGCATTTTGGGTATTCATAAAGTGACTTTTCAATTTCACCTTAAACATTTTTAAATTTAAGATCTGTTTAATATTATAATTCAATTTATTAAATTCAAATACTCCGTTTTGAAGTACAGATTTGCTACAATTTTGCAGATGAATATCTATTCTGCCTCTGGTGTCGTAGTTATGATAATGACCATTTAATTTTGTCAAGTTTTCTAAATATAGTGGCAATAAATGATGTTTTCATCTGAATATGAAAATGAGAACCAAATAACATAAATGTTTTACATTCAACCACAGTAGTTCTGCTAACATAGACTTAATCATAGCATATTTGTTTTTATTTAAAATGATTCTTATAGCTCTATTTTGTAGAATTTCTAATTTTGGAAATATGTTTTCATTTGCTGTAAACAAGATGGTTGGTCAATTTAAAAAATTATAGCATTATACACAATTTTTTTGGAATGTAATGTAATCAAAACGCTCTTGAAACAGTAATTTACTATCCACATATATACTCAGATATTTGAACGATTTGAATACTACAATTTTTTCATCATTAATCATGACCCTAATTGTATTATCACCTAAATGTTTTCCTATTGATGTTTTATTAGTGTTTAATTGTTTAGGTGTTATTAATGGACATAATTATTTGTAGCAACTAGCTAGGAGAAAGTATCCTTGATAAGTCTTTGGAAACTCGACAAATTTTTTTTGTAAACTACTCTTTTAACTTTAAAACTCAAGCTTTCGATGGTATATGCGATCATCATCAGGAGTATGTCGGCGAGATTGTTGCTGAATTGTTCTTAGAAGAAAGTGGACCACATAGTGAAACGATAAAAAACTAGATGTATGAGATTCATTTAGAAAAATTACTAAAAAATCATAGCTATGTTTTTCAATAAACCACTAACGGATTTAAAAGAATTGAATATTTTTGAAACTTTCACATCACATCTTTGACTGTCGGACTGTTTCACTGTTGACTGTTTCAAAAATTAATCAATATTCGATTCTTTTAAAACCGTTAGTGGTTTATTGAAAAACATAGCTACGATTTTTTAGTAATTTTTCTAAATGAACCTCATACATCTAGTTTTTTATCGTTTCACTATGTGGTCCACTTTCTTCTAAGAACAATTCAGCAACAATCTCGCCGACATACTCCTGATGATGATGGCATATACCATCGAAAGCTCGAGTTTTAAAGTTAAAAGAGTACAGTTTACAAAAAAATTTTGTCGAAAAGCAAATCAAGGATACTTTCTCCTATATAAATATACAGGGTGACTTTGAAGTTGAGTCATTAATTTTCAGATAATGATTGTAGAAGGAAGATAAACCAAAATATGTGTGTAAAAATAAAAAAAAAATTTTACCTTGTTTTATAAAGTATCCTCCCGACAAGTATTTCAGTGCGGACCTGTATTTGATCGTGAGGTCTTGGAGCACCGGCATGCAGTCCCCTGTGAGGTCTTAAGTCACCTGATTCACGAGCCCGTTGTACTACATTAACAAAGGCACGAGGGGTTGGTTGCACTCGATTGGGAAACCGATCCGCATAAATATGTGCCATTTTTTATTTCGTTTGAGCCACGCAGCAATCACCACTATTCACTCACTCGTTACCGACTGACACAGACTGAATAAAAACATCGTGATCAGCGTTTCAAATTCTTTCGCTTTTTTGTCGTCAAACACGAGCACATAATATTATTATTGAGACAGGCCGGTACTCAAACTTCTAAAGGGCTATAACTTTGTTACTTTAATTTTACCACAAAAATGTTAAAGGAAAAAAACATTTCTTTTGATTAGATCTACTCACTGTTAAAATAAATGACTCAACTTCGAAGTCACCCTGTATACAGGGTGTCCGCAAAGTTGGGGTTTTCCTTTACACGACGTGTAGATCTTGAAATCATAAGCAATTTTTCTTAGTACCATATACACCAATGTCTTAAGGGAACCGAGATAAACAGCTCTGCAACATCAAAAATATCTGAATACCGTCCTGTATCCGCGACAGCACGGAGTGGTACAATGTCACTGACTCAACGACAGAACTGGGTCGGGGGTCGGGGTCAGTGTGTCAGGTCAGTATGCAACCTTCAACCGACGGTTACGGTCACGCGACGTAATCGCGTAGACGAGAATCCCTCAACAAGCACTAGAGACGTGGCTAGAGAAGTGCAAGTATCAAAAACTAAAGTGTGGCAAACGCTGCGTGAAGAGGGGCTGTATCAGTTTCACGTCCAATGTGTATAAGCCCTTCAACCTGACGATTTTCCAGCAAGAGTGCGGTTTTATGAGTGGTTGTTGTATCAACATGACAATAATCCGGACTTTTTGAAGTGCATATTGGTGACAGACGAATCTACGTTCACGCGTAATGGGGTGAATAACTTTCGCAACACTCATGTTTGGTCAGTAGAAAATCCGCACGCTGTCCGTCGGGCACATTTTCAACAAACATTTTCGGTGAATGTTTGGGCTGGCATGGTGCGTCTGCTCGGTAGCGCATCAGATGATTTCATTTTCTGTTGGAGCGGTATGATTTCGGGCAGAGACGTACTTAGCCCTTCTCGTCAACTGGAGAGTGAGAACATTTTCCTTTATTTTTTTTTACTTGGTCGCCCTCGTTTCACTACACATTACCTTTATTATTTCAAGGGTAGTTGTTTCTGAAAAGGAAAACCTCAACTTTGCGGACACCCTGTATAGTTAAGTGAGAAAAAGCTTCAGCTTTTACTGGGTACTTCGTCAAATCAGTGCAAAGTGTACTCTTGTAACTTTATTCTCTAGCTTCCGATGAAATATCTCATTATCAGCAATAGGCGAGATTGTTGCTAAATGTTATGTTTAATCACCTAATTATTTTTTTTAAATTTACTCCCCAGTGGCGCCCCTACTGATATATTTTGAATGCTTGACATACTTCCAATATTAGTTTTTTGACTTCTATTTACTGAATAATGTTGTAAAACGTTTAATGCTGATCTTTTAAAACCACAGGGATGTAATTTCATTAACAATTTTTCTTTATCTAAAATCTCAAATGTCCTTTTGAAGTCTAAAAATACTGTTACAGTTCATTCTTTCTCATCTATACTTCTTCTCAAGTCTTTCACTACCGTTTGGATTGCTGTCTCTGAAGAATATGTTTTCCAAATCCAGCTTGATCTTTTGTCAAAATTTAGTTTTCTCTCTATGAATTCAATGATTTGTTCATATATTATCAGTAAATATAGTAGACATAGAAGCTCTATCAGTCACAACTCGTAACATAAAATTTATCCATATAGATTGCAATAATGCTAATAAGATCACAGAAATTCAAATATTCAAAATGAAAATCAGTCGAAAAACAGTATTTCGCGGTCTGAGAAAAAAAAAGACAATATATTTCAACTCAGACAGCACTCCAATGTTCAGCTTTCCATAATAATACAAACATATTTGACCTGGTGGCTAAAGAACTGGCACCCATCACAGGACTGGGAAGAGGTGTGCCGACAACCATTGGTACGTCTGTATACCTGCAAAATATTTTCATCAAGTGTTAAAGTTATACAGGTACTCCAGTGAAAATAACAATTACAAGGATAAATGGAATCTCGTTTGAAGAAATAACTAAAATTCAACTAACTGCGGTTGCTACTTGTGACAAAAATTAAATGGAGAGAACATTTTCTGCAAAAATCAAATTATTCATGCACAGGATTCTCCATAAGCTGAATCAATTCCTATTAGATAAGAAATAACTACGATTAGTCGCTATAAACTATATAGGGTGGCCCAACGAAAAGATTGCATCTCCATTTGTGACCCTCCTGGCATATTTTGGGAAAAACGCTCGGACACGTCAATTTTGATTGCTAGGGGGTCGTCTTTACATCTATAGCCGCATAATACAGGGTAATCCAAAAATAAAATATTAATATTAGATTTTTAAATGGAAACCCCGATTTTTTTTAATTTTCACACCTTCAGTGAAGTTTTTAGTAACGTTTGTATAATAAAGTTTATACCTATTTCCAATCGTTGTGAAGCTATTTGAGTTTACAATGAAATTCGACTAATCTAACTTAATACTGATAATAATGCACGACAAAAAATAATAATCATGGATACCAGCAAGAACATTTATCTCCGATTCTATTAAGTTTCGAAAAACTGTCCAATCTGCGTGTTTTTCGTTCCAGCTAGTTTAGGGCATATATTCAACCGACTGGCCTGTAGATGACCGTAACGTGATTTGAATTGGAAAATGATCAGTGTCAGGTAAAACGTCCAAAGTCATGATATCTGCTATTTTTGGTAATACGTTAAGTCGACCGCAGAAAACTGCTTCGTATATTGTGGGCTAACTATTCGAGTATGTCAACCGTCATTAAGGATTACTATGCCACAATTTTCCATAGCATCCACCAAGATCTTCTCCTGAGCATCATCTTCTCTTTAACCCCAAAGGCCATGATGTGAATTAAAATCTCCACAATAGATTGTGGGATCACTGAATTGATCAAACAGATTACAGCGATCTCTTTGCGATGTACGAACTTCTGGTGGCTTATATGTATATAGAGACTAAATTGAATTCCCTGTCATTCACGGTAATCGCACAAGCCTCTATAGAACGATTAAAATTAGTTGAGTTAGAAATTACTTTAAAATTAATATTCTGCTTAATAAATATGTCCACACCGCCAGAACGAGTGTCTCTACATTTCTTAACAAAATTGTACCATTTCGTCTTGAGCGTAAGAAACGGAATCCTAGAAGAAAATATGTCTCCCAAGAAATCAAAATTGATGTATCTGAGCGTTTTTCTCAAAACATACCAGGAGAGACACAAATCGGGGTACGACCTTTTCGTTGGCCCACCCTGTATAAGTTGTTGCTTGGAAGAATTTTGTTACTCAATTTGGTCTCATATTAATAACTTATTATATTTTTCAACTGCGAAATCAAATGTATCTACGAATAAAACCTTATGTCCAAGACAAGGATCCTATGCATGCATAAAAGTATAATTTTTCACTAGTTTGAGAGACATTTTAAAAAATCGACCATATCCATTAAATCCATTACTTCAAAAACGCCTTTTTATTAGTCGAATTTGTGCTAAAGTAAAATCGGGCCTTGGAGGCATAAAGCAGTAGGTGTTGAAGTGACTCTGGAATGATGCCAAACTGTGGGAACTAGAATATTTAAAACCCTCCTAAAAGTTATATATATATTAGTTAGGTGAAAAATTAAAGCTTCCGCCTTTTGTTGGGTACTTCGACAAAATTTAAGCAAAGAGGACTCTTTATACTTTTTTTAATTCTCTCTAGCTTTCAATGGACTTTGCCATCATCATCAGGAGAGTAGTATGTGAGGATGTTGCTAATTGTTGTTTTCGTATAGGATGACGGAAACGTCCAGTAACATGGTGAGAGCTGGATACATGGTACAATGGTTAACATTATATAAAATATGACAAGACAAGTTAAAGACAGATTAAAAATTATTTAGAAAACATTAGAGCATTACGTCGTGAAGCCACTTGATGATTGCACATATTCCATGACCACCATGACAGATTAAAAATTTTTAATCTGTCTTTAACTTGTCTTGTCATATTTTATATAATTTTAACCATTTTACCATGTATCCAGCTCTCACCATGTTACTGGACGTTTCCCTCATCCTATACGAAAACAACAATTAGCAACATCCTCACATACTACTCTCCCGATGATGATGGCAAAGTCCATTGAAAGCTAGAGAGAATTAAAAAAAGTATAAAGAGTCCTCTTTGCTTAAATTTTGTCGAAGTACCCAACAAAAGGCGGAAGCTTTAATTTTTCACCTAACTGGTCTAGACGACAATGACCACGTCTCAAGTTATATACAGGGTTATCCAAATTAAGTGTCCACCATTAGTAACTTTGTTATTAGTGAAAATACAAAGTTGTTTGAATTAGCAAACTAGTAGCATTTTTAACGGTGGTAAAAATGAGAAATAAAAAAAAAACAATTGAGAGTCGTTATTTTGATTTTTTTCAGTAAAATAACATTTTTTTAAATGGAAACCCCTGTATATTATATTTTTTTCTGTTAAAGCATCAAATTTTAAACAAAAAAGTTCATAATGACTTTTCCGCTAAAGTCAAAAATAAAGTCAAAATAACGATAAATATTTTTAATTATTTGCAGTATTATAATATTAAGACGGCTATGAAAACAACATGGCGTTCGCGATTTGACAGCATTAAGATAAGCGACAAATTGTTAAACTGGACATACTCGCAACTAGAAGGCTTTGGAAAACAATGATAAAATCAAATAATGTCAAACATTAGTGTAAATACTTGTTTATAAGCTTTATTGTGTCATTAATTTAAAGAAAAATGTTCTCCCATGAAGAAAAGTGTGATATGTTAGAATGCTATTTAGTGTGCAGAAAATCCTCCTTGAGAGCAAGTGAATTATATCACGCTCGCATTCAACCGTATGAACGATATTTTCTGAGACTTTATCGAAAATTTAGGGGCAACGAAAATGTTTTTGCTAAAACAAGGGCAAAAAAAGAATTCATAATAAGCGAGGCCACGGAAATTGCAGTTATTGGATATTTTGAAGCTTATCGTGAGAATTCATAAGCAGATATTCTCAAGGACTCTAATTTCAGTTATGGTACTGTTCAAAGGATTTTAAAAAAATACAAATTTATTCCGTATAAGTACCGACCAGTTCAAACGCGTTTGGCAGGGGATCCAGAGAGAAGACTTGTTTTTTGCCATTGGTATCTTAGCTTCTGTCGCCAAAATGTAAATAACTTTCGTTACCTTTTATGGACAGATGAATCAAATTTTTCAAATTCTGGAATGTTTAATAGAAAAAACCACCATTATTGGTCAAGAGAAAATCTTTTGTTAGTACATCCAAGAGGCCCACAAGTCCGTTTCAGTTTCAACGTTTGGTGCGGTATAATTGGTTCAAAAATTGTTGGCCCGTTCTTTTATGAGGGAACCCTAACTGGTGAAAGATATGTGGAATTTATGTCAGAAATTCTGACTAATTTCTTAGACGAATTGGATCTTATAAGTAGACATCATCTGCATTTTCAGCAAGATGGCGCACCTGCCCACAACTCCAGAGGTACTGATCATTTTCTAAGTACTACTTTTAATGATCAGTGGATAGGAACAAATGGCCCAATACAGTGGCCTCCCAGATCACCAGATCTAAACCCACTTGATTACTTCTTGTGGGGTTACTTAAAGAACCAAATTTACAAGCGAAGGTACGATAACCTTGACGCGTTAAAGACTGCAGTTAGGGAAAAGATAACCCAGATAGATGGTAGGACCATACTTAAGACAGTTCGAGCAGTTGAAAAACGTGCCCAAAAATGTATTGAAGAACAAGGTGGTGTTTTCGAGCATCTTCTTTAAAAAAAATTGTTATTGTATTTTGTAAGATTATAAGTTGATGTTGAAAATAAAGTTTGTCGATACAATTTAATTGTTTCAGATTGGAGGCCATAACTTCAACAATTTGTAACCTAGGAGAAAAGTTATTGTAAGCTTTTTTGTTTAAAATTTGATGCTTTAACAGAAAAAAATATAATATACAGGGGTTTCCATTTAAAAAAATGTTATTTTACTGAAAAAAATCAAAATAACGACTCTCAATTGTTTTTTTTTATTTCTCATTTTTACCAGCGTTAAAAATGCTACTAGTTTGCTAATTCAAACAACTTTGTATTTTCACTAATAACAAAGTTACTAATGGTGGACACTTAATTTGGATAACCCTATATATATATATATATATATACTATATTATATATATATATAACAACAAGTAGGAAAATAATGGGCAAAATCCGCAAAAAGGAGGAAAGTGGATTCGAGCAGAAAATAGGATAGGTAACCCGAGCGATACGTATTTCTGCTGGTTGGCTTCATCAGGCCCGAAATGAATGCACATATGAAACTACAAAAGTAGATACACATGCCCACACATCCGGATACGGGTGTAACCTGAGGAAACGAAGTTGGAGGGAAAAAAAATCTATCCGGATGTGTGGGCATGTGTATCTACTTTTGTAGTTTCATATGTGCATTCATTTCGGGCCTGATGAAGCCAACCAGCAGAAATACGTATCGCTCGGGTTACCTATCCTATTTTCTGCTCGAATCCACTTTCCTCCTTTTTGCGGATTTTGCCCATTATTTTCCTATTTGTTGTTATATACATTTCTCCGCATGATCATTTTCTCTTTATATATATATATATATATATATATATATATATATATATATATATATATGGTTAGACTGAAACTCTAGTTACACAATTCCAGCAAGTCAGTGACTAAAGACCCAGTTTTAGTCTTTGTTTCCGTAATAACCCAACTGCTCTATTATCTGTCTTAGGTCATATGTACCTTGACAAAAGATTCCTATAGCCTCTTCCAATGGTGGCGATTAATGGAGCATTTTCATGGACGTCACTGGTACTTTTTCCCATCATCAATGGAACTATCGCCCTAACCTCTTCTTCATACGGACGAAAAATTGTAATGGGACGTAGTGTAGCTCGTTCTGCTATGATTATACAGCCCCAAGTGGTGCCTATGTATAACTCATTGTTTAATGCAACGAGACTGGTGACCTGCATAAGAAACAAAAAATATACCAAAACATATCGTACATAAAACAGCAAAGTATCGCGAAATCTTTCAGACGCCATTCTCACAAAAAGCAACTCGATTACAACCCGATTTCGACTTCGGTTACTCTGTTTTTGCGTATCCATCGTCAGCTTCGGTTAGAATCTGATATCTCTCTTTAGCCTAAATACCAGATTTGATAGATGTTGCTCGGTTGCGAATACATACCCTGTTCTCTTTGCACACCAATGAAAAAGTGAAGTAAATATAAAGGGCACTATAAAAGTTTTGCAATACAGCTTTATTTACTGACTTCGTTCAAAGTAATTTCCACCACATTAAATACACTTCTCCATCTGCCAAAACCAGTCCTCAAACCAGCTTTGCTAATTTTCACCCAGAAGTGCGGCACACTCGTCCTAGGCCCTCAAAAGGTCCTCTTCGCTAGAAAGCCGTTTTCCTTTTAGGTTCATTTTCACAGGCGGAACCAGTGCTAAGTCGCAGGAAGCAAGATCTGGACTGTAAGAAGGGTGCTCAATAAGTTTCAGTAGAGTAGTTGACAAATACTCGGTGCAGGCTTTGGTGCGGTGAACTGGAGCGTTTTCATGGTGGAGTTTCCAAGTGTCCATTCTTGACTTCGGCCGCAGGTTTTTTATAGACTATATGACTTTAGACAGGCACTGTTCCATGAACCACTTAGCTATGACTGTCTTCTAGGTCTCCAAAGTGACACACTCCACAATCCCGCTAGATTTTAAAAATATAGCTATCATTTTTCTCTTAACAGATCGGGATTTTCTGACAGCTACGGGTTTGTCCTCATCATCAAAGACCTAAACTTTGTTTTGAACCTTGGTCGGTACAACGTAATAATAGAGCCAAGTCTCGTCACCTGCCATGAAGTTGTTCACATACCGAGATTGCCCCATATCAAACATTTTCAGCATCTTTCGGCACCAAGTCGTACGACGAGTCTTTGTTCTTCCATCAGATTATGCCCTTTTCTCACTTCGTGACCACGATGTCATAGTCCGCACAGTACACTGTCAATACGAATGAACAACTAAATCAATAGACGTGCTGCGGGTGGCTACTATGCACTCATGGACATGTCTCAATATGCAGTAACATGCAGCCTCCTGAATCCTTCTGTTGAGTCATATTGCAAAACTTTTATAGTACTATTTGCCTGTATGATTCTATTCCTAGTACTCACCTGACAATTAGTAGGACTGAGATGTTCTTCAATAGCAATGGACTTCAGGCTCTCAGAACACGGTACCAGCTTTGAACAGTCCAGCTTGTTTATTATGGTTTTACTTTTAGAATCCCATTGGTATACTATACATCCCGGTCTGACGTATGACCAGACATTCGTTCCCAACGAAATCAGATTCATCACGTCCACTTTTTCTATCATTGGGTGGTAGTGGTTCAGAATATCGTGACCCATGACAACGTGGTCTTTTATAATATACACCGAAATTTGACCGTCTGATTCTCCACACCACAACTCGCATGTGCTGGAAAAAAAAGAGAAATTAAGTGTTAACACTATACGTTGACTGAAATCCAACATTTATTTTAAAATAATCTTATTCTGTACAGATAATGGCGAGAATGTTGGGCATGTCAGATTTACGAAAAATTGCATTAATTAATCTGGAGTGTTTAACCAATCTGAAACAGCAAAAATTCTTCCCTCTACAGATGACAATTAAATCTGATCATCCCTGTTTGCAGCTTTTATTTCCTATGTAATAATAAGAACATTTCAACCGTCTCCAGCGCAGCGTATTTCTCATCGCCGTGTTAACCTATTATCTATACTAAGTGACATATAAATCCGTTACACCCAGTTTAAATGGTTTTATTTTAATAAAATTTTCTATAAGTACTTAATGAAGCATAATAAGTAAATGATAAAAATTTCAAAATGATTGCACTGCTTTAAAGCCCTTTGACCTTTAATAATGTGTGGATGCACCCTGATGTGCTACGCATTCTCCAACGCGCCTAGGCATGCTTCTGATCAGGTGGTCAATGTCCTCCTGTGGTATCTCATTCCAGGCAACCACCAACTCCTCTCGAAGTGCTTCTAGAGTCTGAGGAGGAAGTTGCAAATTGAGCAATCTCCTACCCATCATATCCCACACGTGCTCAATTGGGGATAAGTCGGGAGATCTTGGTGGCCATGGTAACAATGTGACATCATTATGTTGAAAGAAGTCCATTGTGACTCTTGCAACATTGGTCGGGCATTATCTTGTTGGAAAGTTGGATCTGCCAGGGTGTCAAGATAGGGTAAAAGATGGGGTTCTAGAACTTCGTGGATATAACGCTGCGCGTTCATGTTACCTCTGATGAAGATTAAAGGTGACCTGGAACCATAAGCCATAGCACCCCAAACCATAACTCCAACAGTATGATGAACATGTCTTTCAACAAAAAACTGTGGATTCCTCCTTTCACCACGTCGCCTTCTAACCCTGGCACGACCATCGTGCATGTCTAAACAAAATCGAGACTCGTCACTAAAGACAATACTGTTCCATTCCTGATCCCAGAGTGACCGTTGTCTGCACCACTCAAGGCGATTACGTCGGTGTTCTCGAGTTAAAGGGAGGACCCAGTGTGGCCGGTATGAAAACAAGCCAATACTTCTCATTCGTCGGTAAACACTTCGCATGTCAATAGGTCTTCCGTGTTCTGCAAACCATTCATTTGCAATGGACCTGGTAGTGGAGAAACGGTCCCTTAAGGCCAATAATCTTAGGCGGCGATCTTCACGGTCTGTTGTTCTACGGCGGCGTCCAGTGCTCCTTGCTCTTTGCGTACGGCCTTCTGGAAGCCATGCCTGACAACACCTAACCACAGTGTCTACACTTCTTTGCACTCTAACTGCAATTGCCCGAAAAGAAAGTCCAGCTTCCCGAAGTCCCACTATACGGCCCCTATCAAACTCACTAAGTTGACGAAATCGTACAGGTCTCCGTACTCTAAGCATCGTAACCGATCGTAAAGGATGTCAAGAACCAAAATCCGCCAACGTTGATTCTTTACTGCGGCTGAAATATTCATTTTTAGAGCGTTATTGAATTAAAAAAAAGCAGTATAAGAACCGGAATGTCCAACTGATAAGGCTGAAAATTTTTTCACTTGTTATTTGCAGTAAGATAAATACATTCACCAACTTTTATTAAAATAAAACCATTTAAACTGGGTGTTCGGATTTATATGTCACTTAGTATAATTTTTTTCGGACTTAAGGAAAATTGATCTGGTACAGCACCTTCAGCTGGATTAAAGAAACTAGCTATCCCAGATACTCAATTTGCCGAAAAGATTGATGCTACAACTTTAAGGGCCCACATTAGCTCGGCTTTAACTGCTGCATCTTTACTGTTTGTTAGAGTAAGCAAAGAACTACCTGCTTTCTCCGAATCTTGAGACAACAATTTTTTTATGTTTTTCGCCACCTATATGTTGCTGTATGCTAAAAAATCCTCTGGAAATGTGAACCACTTTAAGACAAACATTGCAAAAAAGTTCATTTTCACTGTGCTTTATGGCCCAATGTGAAATCAAATAGTTATTGCTGTCTTTCTTTGTCAACCATTCTTCTTGAAATTTAGACATTTTGTCACCATTCTACTAAAATCAGTCATATTTTCCCATGTAATAGCTAAACCAAGTACCTATTTGATAGCAACCAAAAATAATTCCTAAATTAAAATTTTTCCGATTTCACTGGACAACACATTTTAGTTTTTTAATTGTATCTTGTGGGAAAAGTGCACTTCTTTGTTAATTTTGGGGCGCTGAATCCAAAAATGACAATTAAATAAAAAAATTAGTTGCGGTTTAGAAACAAAACTTTTTATTTTTAAGGATATATTAAAAAAAGTAACAAGATTCATATACTTATAAGAATCACTATATGCGCTGTCTTTTTGCTGTTCTTTTATGGATCGTTTCTGGAGCATCTCTACCAAGAGTCCAACAGTAGTCTGCAAGCATGGAAGGATTCCACTTTCCCTGGTACCTTTTTTCCATTGTTGAAATATCCTGATGAAAACGTTCGCCGTGCTCATCACTTACGGCTCCGCAATTGTCAGGAAAAAAGTCCAGGTGTGAGTGTAGGAAATGTATCTTAAGAGACATATTACAGCCCATCTTTTGATACGATGACAGCATATTTTTGACAAGGGTTTTATAGTTGTCAGATTTTCTATTTCCCAAGAAATTAGTGACCACCAGACGGAAATCATTCCAAGCAGTTTTTTCAATACCTGTTAAAGTGTTTTCAAACTGTGTATCTTTCAAAATATTTCGAATCTGTGGCCCAACAAAAATACCTTCTTTAACCTTTGCCTCACATAGTCTTCGAAATTTCTGACGCAGGTATTGAAAAGCTGACCCATCTCTATCTAATGCCTTGACAAAGTTTTTCATTAGGCCCAACTTGATATGCAGTGGTGGTAATAAAATTTCTTTCGAATCTACTAATGGCATATGCTGTACATTTTTTTGACCTGGCTCTAGGAATTGACGAACAGGCCAGTTTTGTCTGGTGTAATGAAGTGCCTTTGCCCGACTGTCCCATTCACACAAAAAACAGCAAAACTTTGTGTGGCCTAGCTGCAGCCCAAGTAAAAGTGCAACAACTTTCAAATCGCCACAAATATGCCATTGGTGCTCATCGTATTTTATGCATGTCAATAGGTACTTCATATTGTCATATGATTCTTTCATGTGAACTGCATACCCTACAGGAAGAGATGGTAAAATATTTCCAATATGCAATAACACTGCCTTTAAACTCAATGTTGAACTGTCTATAAACAATCTCCATTCTTCTGGGTTATAGTTTATATTTAAAGCCGCCAGTAAGCCGTTAATGTTACTGCAGAAAACCAAGTTATTCTCCATATTGCAAAATGGTTCTAAGTCTTTGTGGCGTTTACGAAAAACACATACCGAAACATCGTCTTCTAACAAGTTCCACTGCTGCAGTCTTGATCCAAGTAGCCTTACGTTTTGGAAGTTCTAAATCTCTTACAAGATCATTTAATTCTGACTGTGTTATTTTGTGCGGTTGGTGGCATGACGTGCTCGGTATAAAATCAGGATCTCTTGACGTTGATGGCATATCTTCTTCCTGACGAATCACTCGATCGCCATGATCTGATTCGTTTTCTGATTCTGGGGGATTTGGAATAGGATTTTCGTCACCGTGAGGCACAGGTCTCATCGCAGATGGTATGTTTGGGTAGTTAATAACCGATTTTTTTTTTCTTGGACATACCTGTGGCTTGTCCAACACAAGGTACCATGCAAGAGTTAACAATCATTAATATGATTTGTAGGCTCTCTCCAAACCATTGGGACAGCAAAGCGCATAGACCGTTTTTTGCCATTTAACCAGCTCCTCAGACTTGAAGCACATGTATTACAGCAGATGTGGGGTGCCCACTTTTTGTCTTGATCACCTAGTTTACAACCGAAATAAAGCTGATATGCCTTTGTTATTAGTGGAGTAATAGACCGTCTCTGAGACGCAAAAGTCACATCACCACACATGTAACAAAACTGATCTGGATTGTTTACACACTTTCGAGACATCTTGCATGAACGATGTCAGCCAACTGAGGAAAAAATGGCTAATATAAAACAATATAATGTACACCTATGTATAACGTAATACAATCATGCCGATTACATCATCTTTCCTTGCCGAATATAAAAATGTAGCACGTGCATTCTTGTGAGTTACAGTATATTAACACGGTCACAGCAGGAACACATATAATTACCGTATCTCTAAAACTTGAACTAATATTGAAAAAATAAGTTTCATTCCGGTTTTAGCACATTAAAAATAGTAATATTTTGTTGATTTTATTTAGGATATTTTTTGGCTGTTGATCAGTGTTTTTGGTTACTAAACTTGATTTTTCTGTTACATGCGAGTTAAAATACAACACTAAAATATGTAATTTTAAACTGTGAAGTCATCACTATAAACCCTATATAAACAAGGTTTACAATGCTGACCACTTCCTGAAAAAAATGTTGCTAAAACAGCCAAAAAATCGGCCGGAGCAACGTAAAATTCCCTCAGTTGATCTTTATTGGGAAACAAAATGAAAAATATGAAGATTTTTCTAAAAATATGAAGTTTTATGAAAAAAAATATGAAGAAATATGAATCGGTTCCGGACCCTGATATTTTGTATCAATTGTAATGACCTGAGCTTTGGTTTGAACAAGACGGATGCATCAGGTAGTGTATGTATCGTGAATGTTTTGTTTGTTGTTACTTATAGCTGGGTGATTTGATCTATGTTTATTCTTTGTTCGCAGTTCACACAAAATACACAAAATCAATCGGAATCTACCACCTCAAAAAAGAACAACAATGGTTGTCATCGATAACACGCGGCGCGGCAGCATTGACACGGATTGCTGGAGAACGGAGCATATCATCGTTAATTACATTTAGAAATATTTATTTATTTATGTCCAACAGGTGAAACCCAATTACAGGAAATGCTGAAAACAATAACAATTAAAGAGACATGGTTCTTGGACTTAAATCTATAGTATCACACATTCTAAATAAGATTGGATGATCTATAGCAGTTAATAATCGATGCACAACTGTCACTGTAAATATCACACGATTCAGTAACACTGTTCATGACGCAGCACATGAGATTAATTGGCGATTTTGTCATAACATTTATACGTCCAGCTTGACAATAGAATGCCGTTTGTTCTCGACTCCCTAGCCTTGGAACGCGGAAACATATTTTCTCAAGTAAATTTTGACAGTCAATTTTATTGTGAATGAGGCCATACAAAAACGACAAAGCAAATATGTTTCGTCCTGTTGACAGTGAATCCAAATTGAAAAACTCTAATAGGGCGCTATGGTCACAACCTCTTTCTGGATAAGAACCTGTGCATTTAAGGTGATGGTATATAGGAGACCAGATCAGAGTCGCATACTCCAACTTGCTCCTGACAAAAGTAAAAAATAAAGTAATTAATGTATCAACATTGGAGAAACCCTTCCAGTTTCTGATACGGAAACCAAGTAGTCGAGTGGCAGCCGACGAGATATTGAGTATATGTTCAGTAAACGTTAGCTTGGTATCAAAAATGACTCCAAGGTCTCTATAAGAGGTGCATCTGTCTATAACCTGACCATTGATGTTATAATTATCATAAATTAAATAGTTAACCTTTCTTGTATAAGTCATAACTTTACATTTCGAAACATTCAGACTGAGACAGTTTCGTGAACACCATTACGAAATTAGAGCTAAGTCATCTTGCAACATGACGCAATCCTCGACTGTCTTGACTGACGTGCAGATTTTAAGGTCATCAGCGAAAAACAAATGGAAACACTTCAGTTCAAAAGACAAGTCATTAATAAATATTAAAAACAATAATGGACCTAGATTTGACCCTTGAGGTACCCCGGACGTGGCCCGATAGTAACTCGACCTATGACCACCATATTCGACAAATAACGTTCTATCCCTCAAATATGAATTCATGAGCAACAGCATTGCATCAGACATACCCACTGTTTTAAGCTTATCGAGAAGTGCAGAATGATCAACTTGATCAAACGCCTTCTGAATATCTGTGTAGATGACATCAACTTGTCCCTGACCGTCCAGCACTTCAGAAATGTACTGAGTAATCAGAGCCAAGTTGGTGACCGTAGATCTGCCTCTCATAAACCCATGCTGATTAATAAAGACTGCACCCCTGACCGAGCAGTAAACCGTTTCATAAGCGATGATCTCAAACAATTTGCTGAAATTGCACAGGATTGCTATTTGGCGATAGTTGGAAATATCAGAGATATCTCCACTTTTGTGAATAGGACATATTTTAGAGGTCTTCCAGATATTTGGATATGTCTCTGATTTTAGAATTAGGTTGAATATGGAATTCAGCGGTTTCGCTAGTATATGAATGCAATCTTTAACGAAAAAACTAGGAATACCATCACATCCAGACGTCATTTTGTTCTTTAATCTTTTCGAAGCCCTAATTACGTTTTCTTCACTTATATTTTTTAAAGAAATGATATCGGTAGAATTATTTGTTGGAGGCCCTAGTAGACCAGACGAGATAAAAACTGTTGAAAAGAAGGTAGCAAAACTGTCCACTATATCCTGAGGCGTATCGTAGACATTGCCGTTAAGCGTCATCCTTGGGGGGATTCTAGATTGCTGTTTTTTGATCTGGGCAAATAACCAGAATCTGCTAGGATCATTGACAATGCCATCCTCAACCGATTGGACGTAAGCGGAGTAGGCAACACTGATCTGGTTCTTAATGAGCTTCCTAAAATTACTGAACTGATCATAAGAAAACTTAGTACCGTCACGTTTCCAGTTCCTTCTTGCTATGTCCTTCTTCTTGATATTGAGTATAATTTCACGTGTGAACCATGGGGGATACGAAAACATTTTATTTTTACATTTAGGGACATGGACCTCAAAGATGTTATTGATAACTGAATACAAGGCGGTACAAGCGACATCAACATTAACTGCACTGATCACCTCCTCCGTCCAATTAACATCTTGCAAGGCTGTGTACATTTCAGGAAAGTTAGCTATGCGAAAGTTAATCGTGGAGAATTAGCAAATGGGAATTTCACTGGAGATCCGGATGTAATGAATTCCATGATCAATGCAGGATGATGAACGTCCTCTTTAACAGAAGGTGTATTATCTCTGAGGACTTCTATTTCGATATTTCCTAAAATTAAATCCAGTATTCGACCATTTATATTTGGAATATTATTAAAATTAGTTAAATCTAAAAACGAAATAAAGTTGCTCATTAATTGAGACTTCTGATCATTAACGTCACTGTTGAATGATGCGACATTAAAGTCACCAGCAACAATTATTTTACAATTACTGAATGCATTGTTAAATACTTCCAAAGCTTCAAGGTACTGACCAAACATGTCCAAATTAATTGAAGGCGGAATATAAATAGAAAAGATAACAAAATGTTCATGGTTAATAATAAGCCTAATACATACAGTATCAATCGACGGAAAGTTTCGACTCAAAGCACTAGCGTCAATTCTAATTGCATGGAAATCGCGTTTTATGGCTATCAGGACTCCTCCGCCGGAAACTAGACCAGATCGAATAAAGTCACGATCACATCTGAACACACAGTATTCAGCCGGAAATAATTCACTATCACTTACATTCAGAGACAGCCACGTCTCAGTCAAGCAAATTAAATCAAATTTGTAGTCACTGACTGCATTGAAGAATGACACCGTCTTAGAATTGAGACCACGAACGTTCTGGTAGGAGCACCCCAGCTTAAGTCTCTCATGACAATTTGGTCTGTTATTGGGTTCAGTTATGCGTTTAAAGTAACGATCTTCGGAACCCCATTGAAATATTTAATTCTGAGGTTACTTTCACCTTGCGCGATCCTTTCATTCAGTTTGCCCTTTAAGTAGCGATAGAGCTCCATCTGTTTTGGAGTTTTATCAAAAGCAACTGATGTATTTTTATATTTTTCATTGTTTTTTAGGGTATTAGTCTTCTTGATTATAGTATGAACCATCTCCTCTGAGTGAAAGATTGCCTTTACTGGCCTGGTCGAGCCTTGTCTAAATTTTCCAATGCGCAGAACCTTAACGCCCAGATTAGTAAACTTACCATCGACAGCCCCAATAGGAAAATTTACAAGCGAGTTTCAAAAGTGCTTGTTATTTAAGTGTTTGAGTGACTTACCTAGTTTCTTCACTGATGACGGCACACATACAATTAATCACAGATGTTGAACTGAGCTCTGTCATTACAAACGTGCCCTCTGCCGCAGTTGGTGTCATCGGCCTTGCTTCAGAGTTTACAAGGAATAGTCTACCATTCGACAGAGCGCACGCCACTCTTTTGAGGTTTGGTATGTATAAAAGAGATTCTACTTGAGTATTGGGTTCATTTTCCAGCGTATAGAAAAATAGCCTCCTACCATCATTCGCCCTAGAATATCATTTATATGGGGTTATTCAAAAGTCTCAAATTATTGGGAACAAGTGAACCGATATTCAACAAATTTTGATCAAAAGTGTTTTTTAAATTCAAATACAATGATATGTTTTTTATTGACGTATGTTAACTCGCTGGTATCCCTTAGTATAACCTCCTAATATACTAAGTGACATATAAATCCGAACACCCAGTTTAAATGGTTTTATTTTAATAAAATTTTGTATAAGTACTTCATGAAGCATAATAAGTAAATGATAAAAATTTCAAAATGATGGTCAATGTCCTCCTGTGGTATTTCATTCCAGGCAACCACCAACTCCTCTCGAAGTGCTTCTAGAGTCTGAGGAGGACGTTGCAAATTCAGCAATCTCCTACCCATCATATCCCGCACGTGCTCAATTGGGGATAAGTCGGGAGATCTTGGTGGCCATGGTAACAATGTGACATCATTATGTTGAAAGAAGTCTATTGTGACTCTTGCAACATGTGGCCGGGCATTATCTTGTTGGAAAGTTGGATCTGCCAGGGTGTCAAGATAGGGTAAAAGATGGGGTTCTAGAACTTGCGCTGCGCGTTCATGTTACCTCTGATGAAGATTAAAGGTGACCTGGAACCATAAGCTATAGCACCCCAAACCATAACTCCAACAGTGTGATGAACATGTCTTTCAACAAAAAACTGTGGATTCCTCCTTTCACCACGTCGCCTTCTAACCCTGGCACGACCATCGTGCATGCCTAAACAAAATCGAGGCTCGTCACTAAAGATAATACTGTTCCATTCCTGATCCCAGAGTGACCGTTGTCTGCACCACTCAAGGCGATTACGTCGGTGTTCTCGAGTTAAAGGGAGGACCCAGTGTGACCGGTATGAAAACATGCCAAAACTTCTCATTCGTTGGAGTTATGGTTTGGGGTGCTATAGCTTATGGTTCCAGGTCACCTTTAATCTTCATCAGAGGTAACATGAACGCGCAGCGTTATATCCACGAAGTTCTAGAACCCCATCTTTTACCCTATCTTGACACCCTGGCAGATCCAACTTTCCAACAAGATAATGCCCGGCCACATGTTGCAAGAGTCACAATAGACTTCTTTCAACATAATGATGTCACATTGTTACCATGGCCACCAAGATCTCCCGACTTATCCCCAATTGAGCACGTGTGGGATATGATGGGTAGGAGATTGCTCAATTTGCAACGTCCTCCTCAGACTCTAGAAACACTTCGAGAGGAGTTGGTGGTTGCCTGGAATGAGATACCACAGGAGGACATTGACCACCTGATCAGAAGCATGCCTAGGCGCGTTGGAGAATGCGTAGCACATCAGGGTGCATCCGCACATTATTAAAAGTCAAACGGCTTTAAAGCAGTGCAATCATTTTGAAATTTTTATCATTTACTTATTATGCTTCATTAAGTACTTATACAAAATTTTATTAAAATAAAACCATTTAAAGTGGGTGTTCGGATTTATATGTCACTTAGTATACAATAACTCCATCTAGCTTACTTATGAAGATGTGGCAACTTTGTCAAAAGTCTGGAAACGATCCCATTGTACCGAGATATTTCTCGGAAAGTATATTACCGATATCTACCAAATTCTGAACAGACAAATATATCTGCGGCATTGCTGCATCAATTATTTTGTCAGGAGACAGTGCCACTTATCTAAGATTGAATGAAACAGTATCTTTTTTATTATCTAGCAACCGTTAGTATAATTTTGGAATAGCAGAACTCTCATCTAGTGTACCTAGGAAAATATAGCAGCAAAATCAAAAGTTTGGAAGCCTATAAAAAGGTTTCATTGTTCTTAAATATTTTTGTTCCTTTTTTAAATATTTAGAAAAACAAAATTTGCATCTCTAAGAATTTTCACGGTCCATGGAATATTCCTTCAATTCTCTTTTAAATATCTTTAAATTAAAGTAGATTTTATATCATTATTTACTTTATTAAATTCAAGTAAATCTTTCTGAAATATTGATTTACTGGCAAAAATTGTTTTTTATTTTAAATATAAAAATAAGAACCAAATACGATATGAAATTTTTTATATTCAACCACTGCAATTCTTGTAACATAGATTTTATTTTGGGGTACCTATTTTTATTCAATATTATTCTCATAGCTTTATTTTGAATCACAGTGAACAAGATAGTTGAGCAATACAGTAAACGCGGTAGAATAATTGTCTTATAAACTATTTTTTTAGAATACTAAGACTAAAAGTAATAAAAGTTATTTGTTTTTTTTTTCAATTTTTGAAATAATATAGTCATAGTGATCTTCAAACTTCAGTTTGTTTTTATTTATTTTAGTTTATTAGCATACATTTTGTTTTAGAAGCATTCAATTTCAGTTTATTTACATTTAAACAATTTATGTCTTTTGCCAAGTCAGAATTTAGCACTTTTAAAGCAGTGTCTACTGTTTCATCTGATTGTAAAATTAATGTATCATCTGCAAGTATCTGAATTTTACAATAATCTAAAATATTACAAATGTCATTAATGTATACAATAGATAGTAGTGGACCTAATTTACTACCTTGTGGCACACCAACAGAAATATATATATACTCAGAATTCTAAACTTTCGAAACAGGAGTTATGGTAGAACACTCCAGTTTTATTGGAAATTCGCCATATTTAAAACAGTAATGTCTCAGAATTAATATTCTTGCTCCAATGATATCAAAACATTCATTAAGCACCCTTTTAGACAAAATCTGCCTCTTATTTTGATTTGATTTCAATTTTTATAATCTTGAGACGATAAATCTTTATTGTTCTAAACCCACTGAATGATGCATTATAATATGATCAATGTGACATTGGTTGGGATCCCCATCAATAATTGATCTTACAATATCGTTGACACTTTCTATGGAATAGGTATTCATTCGATCTGCTATTATTTTTTCATTTGGCATTATCCCATCGTCGAGCTTGATTTAAGATAATGTTTTTCTTCTAACAGGAGAAACAATGTTTTTTCAATGTTTTCCACATCTGTTTGCTATTATTTTTACTGTCATCAATTTTGGTATTGTAATATTATTTATTTTCATCTCGTAGAACTGTTACAGATTGGTTTCTTGAGCTTGTGTATTCTAGTCAATCATTTTCACTTCCAGTAATCATAAACATTTTATAATTGTAGCCTCGTTTTAATTTAGAATCCTTGAACGTGTATGAGAACCAAGGTGTTGGGTTTTTCCTTTTATAAATTGTTGTCTTGACTGTGGCTTCTTTCATGCAAACTTCAACATTATCAAATAGGTTTGCACAGTAGGTATCAAAATCAACAAACATTTCAGTCATATCTTGCAGTTAAATAGCTGTTCGTAATTTTGTATAGCTAATATCAGTAATCTCTTCCACTTTGTTAGCATCAAGTATACTTTCAACTTCAAAACATATCCATGGATGATCACTAATTTTAGGAATATGCATACCTTTTGCAATTAAATTGTTCTTCCACAAAAAATTGTAGCACAGTTATTACCATTTAATCTAGAAAGATCGGTTATCCCATCGGTTAAAATTTAATGTATGTCGAATCAGTATTTCCCAAAAGATTAGACAATTCCTAGACTCTAGGTTATATCTTCAATAGTCGATCGGATGAAGTCTGGATATTTGAACGTAATACTGAGGGATTCTAGCGGGTCAATATACGACAATAAAAAAGGTAGAGTTGTCTCCGAAAAAAAAAGGTAAATCTGGCAGTAACACGGTACCGTCTGATCAAGAATGATCGATCACTCCCTGTTTAAAATTTGGTCAATAGAATAATGAATATTGACCATGGAGCGCGAATTGTATGTGATTAGTTGTTTGAATTGAGTCCAAACATATATGCTATACTTACGAATATGCGTGGATTTTTCCCACATAATCTCCTATCCATACGGAATCACCCACAGTGCAAGCTGCAGTAGCTCTTATTGATAATGTCATTGTATGATACTGTAACCATCCTCGCTCTGCTGCCAACAGTAAATCTATCCGAGAATTGGCACACATTAGCCACATCTCCGAGCCCGATAAGCCATCATCTAGAAAAAAATAGGACGTAAGAACTTTATCCTGCAGTTTTCATGCTGATAAATCTCCATGGTTATCTAACCTTAAATGAAACCACATATCTTCGTTTGACTGTTTACCAATATTTACCAATGTTGGTAACACACCCGGTGTCCGTCTCAGTACAAATCAAAAATGACAATAATATGTGGAGGAAATTAGGGTCGTTACTATTCATTAAACTAAATAAATAAATGATAATAAAAAGTGCATCTAGAGTCTGAGGAGGACGTTGCAAATTGAGCAATCTCCTACCCATCATATCCCACACGTGCTCAATTGGGGATAAGTCGGGAGATCTCGGTGGCCATGGTAACAATGTGACATCATTATGTTGAAAGAAGTCTATTGTGACTCTTGCAACATGTGGTCGGGCATTATCTTGTTGGAAAGTTGGATCTGCCAGGGTGTCAAGATAGGGTAAAAGATGGGGTTCTAGAACTTCGTGGATATAACGCTGCGCGTTCATGTTACCTCTGATGAAGATTAAAGGTGACCTGGAACCATAAGCTATAGCACCCCAAACCATAACTCCAACAGTGTGATGAACATGTATTTCAACAAAAAACTGTGGATTCCTCCTTTCACCACGTCGCCTTCTAACCCTGGCACGACCATCGTGCATGCCTAAACAAAATCGTGACTCGTTACTAAAGACAATACTGTTCCATTCCTGATCCCAGAGTGACCGTTGTCTGCACCACTCACGGCGATTACGTCGGTGTTCTCGAGTTAAAGGGAGGACCCAGTGTGGCCGGTATGAAAACAAGCCAAAACTTCTCATTCGTCGGTAAACACTTCGCATGCCAATAGGTCTTCCGTGTTCTGCAAACCATTCATTTGCAATGGACCTGGTAGTGGAGAAACGGTCCCTTAAGGCCAATAATCTTAGGCGGCGATCTTCACGGTCTGTTGTTCTACGGCGGCGTCCAGTGCCCCTTGCTCTTTGCGTACGGCCTTCTCGAAGCCATGCCTGACAACACCTAACCACAGTGTCTACACTTCTTTGCACTCTAACTGCAATTGCCCGAAAAGAAAGTCCAGCTTCCCGAAGTCCCACTATACGGCCCCTATCAAACTCACTAAGTTGACGAAATCGTACAGGTCTCCGTACTCTAGGCATCGTAACCGATCGTAAAGGATGTCAAGAACCAAAATCCGCCAACGTTGATTCTTTACTTTTCATTTTTAGAGCGTTAGTGAATTAAAAAAAAAGCAGTATAAAAACCGGAATGTCCAACTGATAAGGCTGAAAATTTTTTCACTTGTTATTTACAGTAAGATAAATACATTCACCAAATTTTATTAAAATAAAACCATTTAAACTGGTTTTAAACATATTTTTTATCTTTTTAACAGCACATGAAAAAATATTTTCAAAATTACAAATTCTGCAAAATAAAGCTATGAGAATCATTTTTAATGAAAACAAATATGCTAATATTAAATCTATGTTAGAAGAACTACAGTGGATGGATGTAAAAAAATTCATATGTTATTTAGTTCTCATATTCATATTCAAATTAAATTTTTTTTATTACCACCATATTTTGAAAACTTCACAAAATTAAATAGTTATTATCTTAACTACAAAACTAGAGGCACTCTAGGTTTTCATCTGCAAAATTGTAATATGTAGTAGCATAACTAGTAAATCTATATTTCAAAAGGGAGTATTTGAATTTAATAAATTGAATAATGATATTAAACAGTGTTCGAATTTAAAAATGTTTAAGGTAAAATTAAAAATAACTCTATGAGTACTCAAAATGCATGGAGATGTAATTTTAATAGACAAAAAGGTAAAATTACAGAAAGTGGATTCAAAACATGTGTAAACGAATAATTATACAGAGTTGACATTGTATCATTAATGCTAAATAAATCTTCAACAAACAATCAACAGTGACTAATGGGCAAAGTTCCTACGGATCGCCCAGAAAAACAAGTGACGAACAGTCAAGATCTGTATTTGAAAATAGTGATTCGGCAATTATCATATCATATTTCGTAGGTAGGCTTTTTTGTTTATAATAAGAAAATAAAAGGAATTAAAAAACATTCCTTTTGTCACATGATGTTCTCACATCTTCTCGACCTTCAGAGCTTCTTCAAAACAAAATCAAATTCAAACGTTTCTGTTGTACTCGGATCTTTCAGAGTATTGACGTTTTACACAATATCTCTTGTAACATTGTATTCCAATATAAAATAAATATAATTTAAACAATTCTGTCCGTACGTATGTGTAAAAATGACCTTTGATTTTGAATCTACCTAACACGACCTGCAATGCAATCATCATTTACTTTTTTAATAGACAAATTCATTTTTGCTGGATTTATATACTTGCTCAAATCCTTTCTTATTTGCGTACAACTTTGATTTGTATTATTAGGTTTAATAACAATTATATTTTCCGGTTGTGTTGTTGTGTTTATATTTATTAGTATATTTTACCGTTTTTTTTTTTGAGATGGAGAAGTAATGTTGGTGTTTTCATGCGTGGAACTTTTGACCAAGTCTGCATAAGATTTACTGTTATTTGCAGATGTATCTTGTAAATTCTCAATTTGTTTATACAGGGTGTTTCAGTTTATTGTTGCATAACTTTAAGATTCGATAGAACTTTTAAAACTAATGCATAAAGTATATATAAAAATGCGTGGCTTCCGAAATACAGGGTATTTAAATTTACTTTCTAAAATAGTTTTTTTTAAATATTCCGAACAATATTTGATGTATAACAGTGAAAATTGGTATACAAGGGTTTTTTGGTACGACAAAACGAACCATGGGCATAGTTTTACTGTAGCCGCTAGAGGGCGCTCTCTACTGTACCTGTAATGTATTAAAATGACCGAAAAATTTTTCTTAGTGCAATTTTTTGCTTTTTGACTAAAAAAACTGATTCTTCGCACTTTTCAACATAAGAAAGCTCTCTTGTGAATTTTCGTTATAGTTAGCCGTTTTTGAGATATTTCGATTTTTAGGGTTCGATGCATTTTTAATTATTAATGATAAAATAATGTTAAAAAGTCAGTATCTCGATAATTTTTAGAAGTAGGCTGTGCCTGAAAATATTTTTGAAATTGAAAGCAGAATAAGGTTAAACGTCAATTAGTTGACAGTTAGTTTTTTGTCTGTTGAAACCTGAAACGTTTTTTTGCAATTGTGAATGCACGAAATTTTAGTAAGTTTTATAAAAATGCCATTTTTATTCTTCAATCAAGAGTTAGCGGATATTCATTTTGTGTATGGCTTTGTAAATGGAAACGCAGCAGAAGCAGCCAGAGAATACGCACGAAGATTTCCAAACAGACGACATCCAACTCCCTCAGTATTTGTAAGAGTGCATCGCCAAATAATTGAAAATGGTTTTGGAAATCTCCAAAGGGATCAAAACATAAATGTTCGTCAGCGCAGATTTACCCGTATGATTCTGCGTGAGTTTGATAGAGATCCGACCACAAGTGTTAGGAGAGTCTCTGGTGCCTTGGGAATTTCAGCAAGCCATGTTCACCGTGTTCTTAGAAATGACCACAGACGTCCTTACCATTTGCAACCTGTGCAAGGACTACTGCCAGGTGACGGAGAACGAAGAATCACATTTTGTCAGTGGATTCTTGATAGAACTGATAATAATGGGGAGTTTTTAAGTAACGTTTTATGGACCGGTGAGTCATGCTTCACCAGACGTGGAGTGATAAATTTTCATAATCAACATATTTGGTCGCATGAAAATCCGCATGAAATTCGGGAAAGAAATTTTCTGCATCAATTTAGTGTGAACGTGTGGATTGGTATCTACCGTAAACAACTATTTGGACCCTACCCTTTGCCTGCAAGGTTAAATGCTGCGACCTTCTTGGAATTTTTAAAGGCTGAACATGCAAATATGTGGGATGATATTATGTTAGATTTAAGAAGATTCACATGGTTCCAGCTTGATGGTTGCCCAGCTCATTATTCGAGAATAGTTAGAAACTGGCTGGACGAAAATTATCCAGAAAGATGGATCGGCCGTCGCCTGGCCTCCACGATCCCCTGACCCAAATCCATTAGATTTCTTTGTGTGGGGATTTCTAAAAGAAAAAGTGTACCAGACTCCCGTAACCACAAGAGATATGTTAATAGACAGAATCAGGAATGCATGTGATGAAATAAGGCCTTATTTGAATAATGCTATACCACGTTCGATCATCCGTAGATGTGAATTGTGTATTGAACAATTGGGTTTACATTTCGAGCAACTACTTTAGATTTTGTATGTTTGTCCTAACTATCCAATAGCATTTTAGTTGTAAATAATTAATTTAACTTGTTAAAAATAATATTGGAAAATTAAACAAATCAATATTCTGTTTTTTTGTGTTTATTTGGAGTTAGGAATTATTGCTGTGTTTAAAAACACAATCTAAAGGATCATCTTAATTACTTGTAATGCCCAAATCGAAAATGTAAAAAAAAATATTATTTTCCCATAAATAATTAAAAATGCATCGAACCTTAAAAATCGAAATATCTCGAAAACGGCTAACTATAACGAAAACTCACAAGATAACTTTTTTATGTTGAAAAGTGCGAGGAATCAGTTTTTTTATTCAAAAAGCAAAAAATTGCACTAAGAAATTTTTTTCGGACATTTTAATACACTACAGGTACAGTAGAGAGCACCCTCTAGCGGCTACAGTAAAACTATGCCCATGGTTCGTTTTGTCGTATCAAAAAACCCTTATATACCAATTTTCACTGTTATACATCAAATATTGTTCGAAATATTTAAAAAAAACTATTTTAGAAAGTAAATTTAAACACCCTGTATTTCGGAAGCCACGCATTTTTCGACCCATGTTTATATAGACTTTATGCATTAATTTTAGAAGTTCTATCGAATCTTAAAGTTATGCAACAATAAACTGAAACACCCTGTATAGTTAATCTATTTTTTCATTTAGGTCTTTTATAAAATTTTCTTGTTTCGAAATAGTATAGTCTTTTATCTTTAAAATGTATGTTACACAAAATCTTTTTTCTTCATGTGATACATTCACCTCATTTTCTTTTCCACCAGCTTCAGTCCCATCTTCATCAGTCTCCACACGGTTCAACTCGATATTTTTTCAAGAAAGAACTTGAGCCAGAAAACCTGATAATTTGTGTCACTAATATGTTTCAAAATTAAATATCCGTAAAACTTCCAAACAGTCGCTTCAATCACTGTTTCCAATTTACCACTGCTCACTAGTAACCTCCATTACTCTAGATATCATCACCAGCAGAAAAATCTTCTCTGGAATAAGCAAATTGCTCTCTTTTTAGAACTACCTAATGTGCTTTTAGTAGACACGACAGTGACCGTTTTTTCTAATACTAACTGAATACCTGTTATGTGAGTAAGCGCCGCACTTGTAGACGCAACGACAGCAGCTTGATGTTTCAATGACACTACGTCGCATAAATGGGTAAATTCAGGTGCACTGGCTATAGACACAATTTGGCTAGCTGACGGTCGATCTTTAGGTTGTTGGGACCAACAGATAACCATCAAGTCTAAGAAGTAGCTTGGATAGAGGGTTTCCTGTAATAAAAGTAATTTGGTCAATACATAACTTGGAATGTGAAAAAAACGCAGGCGCTTAATTTTGAAAGTCGTTTATACAGGGTGTTTTCAAAGTTAAGTCATTTATTTTAACTGCTTGTAGGACCACCTATATAAAAGTTGCATAATAAAAGAAACAGTAAAATATTAAAAATTTAAAAAAATAAGAATGTGATTACACAGTGTTGATATTCTCGACCATGACCGTGTAAAATCTTAGCGTTTTCTGTTTACTACTCTTATCGTTTACCTAAATTTACATAATACTAACATACGGAGTGTGCCAACAAAATGCAGCCGCAGCATGCAGGTTGTATGCGGGAAGGCTTCCTTTAAGAAATCATCCGGCCCCATGGACGTTTGTAAATTTAGTTATTAGACTTCGTGACACAGGATATTTAAACGAACAACGAGGAGGTCACACTGGAAGACTTGCTGTACCTAAATTGAGGAAGACATTTTAGAAATGGTCGAAGACGACTCAACAATGAGTACAAGAGCCATAGCAGCTCAAGTTGGAATTTTTCATAGTAAAGGGTGGAAGACAATACGACAATAACAGTATTATCATTATCATTATCAACGGGTACAAGCGTTACAACCTGAAGATCATCCTAGAAGAGTTGCATTTTGCCAGTAGCTTTTAGAACAGTTCGGCAGAAATGCAGATTTTACGAAATTAGATTTGTGTACAGACGATGCCACATTTACACGAAAGGTAGTAGTAGAAAGATTTATTTAGCACATTTGGCTACATAAACAGAATAATTGTAAACAACTTATAACTAGTAAATTCAAGCCATATGGTGTATCATGTAAATGCTGGGCAACCTATAATTGTAGATTTAACAAGTGATTTCTCAATTTTACTTTAAATTTTGTCAAAGTTTTCTGGTCTTTTATCTCCGAGTATAATTTATTATATTCAATCAACCCTTGATGGAATACAGATTTGTAGCATATGTTATACTTTTTGGTCATTAAATGGAAGTCATCTTTATTTCTGGTATTATGTAAATGATGGTCGACATTTGATGATGTTAAATTAGTTAGACTTGATGGAAATACATTATTTTTTACTTTATAAATGAATATCATTACAAGATATTTGATAAAATTTTTTACATTGAGCCATTTTAATTTGCTAAGCATTTGCCTAATTGGAGTATATTTATCTTTATTTAGTATTATTCTCATGCACTTATTTTGTAAAATTTGCAGTCTTTCAAAAATGGAATTATTTGCTAAATATAGAATAGTCGAACAGTACAAGAAATTTGGAAGAATGATGGTATTATAGATAATTTTTCTGCTATATGAACTCAGACATCCAGAATCTCTCGATAAATATCCCACTTTACTACTAATCTTATTTATAACTTTTTCATAATGAATATCAAAAACTAATCGAGAGTCAACAAAAACCCCCAGGTATTTAAAATTTTCTACGAATTCAATATCTTCACCATCAATATTCAGTTGAACATTTGTACATTGTTTTTTTCCGATTAACAAGGCTTTCGTTTCACTTGCATTTAATTTTAGTCTGTTAGATGCTAACCATTTAGAGACAAGCTTCAAGTCTTCATTTATATAAGAGATACCAGACTGAATAATTTTAGTACTTATATAAATCATAGTGTCATCGGCGAAAATCTGAATTTTGCATTTTTTAACGATGGAAGGTAAATCATTTATATATAAAATAAGAAGTGCTCACAGGATACTGCCCTGTGGAACACCCAACGTATTTTCAATTTTTGATGAAATAGTGTCATTAACTTTTGTAACTTGCATCCTTTTAGACAAATAATTTCTAAACCAATCTAAAATACTTCCTGTTATACTATATGCCTTCAATTTACCTAACAAAATATCTATATCAATCGTTTCAAATGCCCTCTTCAAATCCAAAAATCCGGCTATGACAACTTCTTCTGAGTCTATGGCTCTTCTCCAATTCTCAGTTGCCAACTGGAAAGCCGTTTCTGTGGAATATTTTTTTCGAAAGCCTGCTTGCGCCTCCACTAAAATTTTGTTTTCTTCCATAAACTGCATTAATTGGTAATGCACAATGGACTCTAATAATTTTTCAATGTCTAGTAACACATTTACTGGCCTCATATCGCTGCATCTTTTAGAATTTTTTATTTTGGGAACTGGTGTTATTGTAGAGCATTTCAAATTTTCAGGAAAAGAACTGCTTCTCAGTGAACAATTGATCCAATTTGCTACAGGATATCCCAAAATTTCGAAACAGTTTTTCAGCACGTTTTTAGTAGTGAATTCGGCACAGTTGTTATTTGATTTTAAACTGTTTACTTTTTTTCTTAGATAATTCAATGATACGCTGTGAAATTTTGAAAGTGTATGCAACATTTCCCCCTGGAAACTGATTTTCATATAGTCAGGTGCAGCATTGGCAGTACCCACAATATCAACAATACTTTCCACAAAATATTGATTTAGTTTGTTTGCAATCACCAAAGAATTTGTTTCGGTACCGTTTTCGAATTGAACTTGATTTACACAATCATGCGGCTTTGAATTGATCAGTCTTTTTAAAGTCTTCCATATCTTCACACTGTCGCACTTGTTATTATCTATTTGTTTACCGTAGAATTTCCTTTTTTCTTCGCTAATTACATATACACATTTATTCCTAAGAGTTTTATATACCTCCCAATCATCATTTGATTTTGTGAATATACATTTATTGTATTGTTTATCTCTCAAATTTTGAGCTGCCTTAATATTCTTGTTATACCAGGGTGTATTTTTTGTCGAGCAAATCACTTTTTTATCAGTTGCAAGATCTAAACAAGTTTTTATATTTCCTATTGTTGTCATATATTTTTTACATATTCTCACCAAAATTCCAATAGCAGCCAGCAAGTTCTCGTTCAAGTTTTTCGTACTTAATAGTATTTACGATTTTCTTAATTTTTGTATCAGAAAAATGCCCTACCAAGGGCAGCATTGTCCAACTGTGATCGCTAACTTTTGGTGTATGTACAGCTTTAATCCCTGCACATTCGAAATTTACAATAACAAGATCTAACAAAGTCTCTGATCATGATGTTATTCTGGTACTCTCTTCAATTTTTTGCTTGAACCCAAGTTGTTTATGGTTTCTTTCAATTTTCTTGTTTTCATGCTTTTACCATAATAATTTTAAATTAAAATCACCTAAAAGTATTATATTGTTTCTAAAATTCCACATTTCTTCGCATTGTTCTTCAAAAAACGTTAAAAATGTATCCGCATCACTGTTTGGTGAACGGTAAAAAGTACAAAGATCATAACGTTTCCCAAATAATTTGAACTGTATATGTGCATACCAGTATGCATAGTCTAAAGTGGTACAATCGAATAATGTGATCTGTATTTTGTGGTAAACATAAATCACGACACCTCCAGTATGTCTGGAGTGCACAATTTCCACAGCAATCATGTTTGGGCAGTAGAAAATCCGCATGCTGTAAAAAGAACTCATTTTCAACATAGATTTTCATTAAATGTTTGACCTGGCGTGGTAAACGGCATGCTTATTGGACCCTACTTTTTTCCGCCTCCACTGACCAGTGAAATTCATTTAGATTTGCTTTGACACAATCTGCCGCAATTATTAAAAGATGCTCCTCTTAATGTGAGACAGAATATGTGGTTCCTACACGATGGGGTTCCACCACATTTTAGACGAGAAGTTCATGAGCATTTAAATAATGAGAATGAGAATTTGCTCGGTTCGGTTCGGTTAAATAAAAAATGCAGCCTTTTACATAGAAAAATTCCACTCAGCGAAACTACATTGCGATATTAGTATTCATAAGCCATTTGTGTATCATTCGAAGTGTTATAATAAAATTTGTGGATAAAGATTCGCAAAATAAATAGCGCAGGAACTTTAAGACACAATACTTGTATTAAAATACTTAAATAATTAGCCTCTCATATATGAAGACAGGTCTGTTACTTTGTTAGTGTAGTTTGTTATGTACGAGGGTTGTCTCAAAAATACATTTCCCACATTTTTTTCAGGCACAAGGAATTTTTTTAATTGAAAAAATGATTTTGCCATTGGAAACGTTGCTATTTAAGCTATTTTTATACATCGCCATTTTTTCTACGCATTTTTTTAGACGTGGAATCCACTTTTCCACTCTCGGAAGTTTGTCGCCAGCCCGCTTGGAAGCTTGGTAACTGCTCCTTGGAAGCCGTAGCCTAAGACGATTATGGATTGCCCGATTTAGCTTTTTCAAAAGCCTCAGGAATTTCAACCGCCTGTTTCCGGATCGTGATTCGCCGATCTTCGAGCAAGATTTGCTCAATCATCGCCACAACTTCCTCGGAGATATACGGCCTCCTGCTTCGCTGTTCATCGTGGATGTTCGTGCGGCCGTCAGGTAACTCTCTTCACCATTTGCGGATATGTTGAATGCATATACAGGTTTTCCATATACAGGGTTTGTCCGGAAAGTAATAGGACTGAGTCGATTTAAAAAAATGTATTGAGCCAATCGTTACAATTCTTTAAAAACTTTCAAAATAGGCTCCTTCTGCGTCGATGCAGCGCTGTCAGCGCGATTTCCAAGCGTTGAAGGCGTCACGGAAGGCATTCTCCGGAATAGCCTTGAGAGCCGCGGTGCATGCTGCTTGGATCCCCTCTGTCGTCTCAAAATGCTTGCCGTTCATCGGCCTTTTCAGGCGGGGGGACATCTGGGCTGTAGGGCGGCTGCGGAAGCATTGGGATGCCGGCCTTGGTCAGGTAGCTGTTCACAAGAAAGGCGGTGTGAGCCAGGGCATTGTCGTGGTGCAACTTCCAGTCGGCTGCAATGTCTTGTCGGACCCTACTGACCCTTTGTTTGAGTCTCCTGAGCACTTCCACGTAAAACTTGGCGTCGACGGTTTGTCCAGGAGGAACACATTCATGGTGGACGATGCCTTTGATGTAAAAAAAGACAATGAGCATCGTTTTCGCTTTGGATTTGCTCATTCTTCCCTTTTTTGGGCGAGACGCCGTCGCGTGAAACTCGGAAGATTGCCTCTTTGTCTCTGGATCGTACTCAAAGATCCACGACTCGTCACCTGTGATTACGTTATTCAAAAATTGGCTGTCACTTTCACACATGTTCAAATTTTCTTGGCACACTTCCACTCGCTGCAATTTCTGATCCCCAGTGAGCACTTTTGGGACCATCTTCGCGCACACCTTGCGCATGTTCAAATGCTGTGTCACAATGTCATGAACCACAGATTTTAGTAAATATAACATCTGGGCAATTAAACGAATACTCAGTCGACGGTCTGAGTTCAAAACTTTGCGCACACGAGTCACATTATCGGTGTTTGTCGAAGTCGAAGGGCTTTCAGCACGGTCTTCATCAGCGACCTCTTCCCGGCCCTCCAAAAAGGCCTGGTGCCACCGAAACACACCACTTCTTGTTAAAGCAACACCTGGGTAAGCCTGCTTGATCATATCAAACGTCTCTGTCGCAGATTTACCTAGTTTCACACAGAATTTAATCGCGTACCTCTGCTCTAACGAACGCTGCATTTTCGGCTTGCACCACTCGCTGAAACACGTCGCGCGAAAATGCCTGTCCTGACTCTCCAAGTGCTCGGAGACAACTGACCAGCCGCTCATTCGTTAGCTAGGAACGCCCTCTACCGAATCCAGTCGGTAGGCGCACGCTCCGAAGTACAGTCATGGCGGAAGAAAATGAGTCCGATTACTTTCCGGACAAACCCTGTACTGCATTCAACTAGCGATGAATTTCTATGGGTGGTAACCTGACGCCATTGCGCATAGCTGTCGGGTTGGTACTGAGCATCGCAAATAGGCGCGTCTTGCCTCTCGGTGGTGGGGAAGTCGACAAACACGACGGTGTTACAGCGTTAGGAAGCTTATTTTTTAAACGACCCTCGTACTTTTAAATCAACAGAAATGTGGTATTTGAATGATGAATCTACCGAAGTGGTGAAACTTACCCTGTACGTCAAAGGCGGCCTTCCGCCTTCCAATATACATTCTTTCACAGACTCATGCCCCTCGAATGGTTGATGCAGAGTTAGTAGTTCATAGATAAACATGCCGAATGAGAAACAGTCTACTTTTTCCGTATATTCCTCTTCTCCGTTATATCTCATAATTTCCGGAGCCATAAAGCCTTCTGTACCGCCGAATCCTTTTGTACCAGACGGAAGGGTCAGGCGACTGATACCTTGAAAATGTAATATATGCATGAACTAATAAGATGGCACAAAATTGATGAAAAAGATTAGCGATGCAACGAGTAGCACTTTTCCAAAAAGTCAATAACCAGAATCGACTATCGGGCACTCAGTGGAGTTATTTACAGTTGTATAGGACAATAAACAATATACGAGAAGTTGTCTCTGAATTGGAATCTAATAAAAATCCAAGTAAGAATCTCTCAAAAAAGATTCCAGATGACTGGTTCAATATATACTAAGTGACATATAAATCCGAACACCCAGTTTAAATGGTTTTATTTTAATAAAATTTTGTACAAGTACTTAATGAGGCATAAAAAGTAAATGATAAAATTTTCAAAATGATTGCACTGCTTTAAAGCCCTTTGACCTTTAATAATGAGTGGATGCACCCTGATGTGCTACGCATTCTCCAACGCGCCTAGGCATGCTTCTGATCAGGTGGTCAATGTCCTCCTGTGGTATCTCATTCCAGGCAACCACCAACTCCTTTCGAAGTGCTTCTAGAGTCTGAGGAGGACGTTGCAAATTGAGCAATCTCCTACCCATCATATCCCACACGGGCTCAATTGGGGATAAGCCTGGAGATCTTGGTGGACATGGTAACAATGTGACATCATTATGTTGAAAGAAGTCTATTGTGACTCTTGCAACATGTGGTCGGACATTATCTTGTTGGAAAGTTGGATCTGCCAGCGTGTCAAGACAGGGTAAAAGATGGGGTTCTAGAACTTCGTGGATATAACGCTGCGCGTTCATGTTACCTCTGATGAAGATTAAAGGTGACCTGGAACCATAAGATATAGCACCCGAAACCATAACTCCAACAGTGTGATGAACATGTCTTTCAAGAAAAAACTGTGTATTCCTCCTTTCACCACGTCGCCTTCTAACCCTGGCACAACCATCGTGCATGCCTAAACAAAATCGAGACTCGTCACTAAAGACAATACTGTTCCATTCCTGATCCCAGAGTGACCGTTGTCTGCACCACTCAAGGCGATTACGTCGGTGTTCTCGAGTTAAAGGGAGGACCCAGTGTGGCCGGTATGAAAACAAGCCAAAACTTCTCATTCATCGGTAAACTCTTCGCATGCCAATAGGTCTTCCGTGTTCTGCAAATCATTCATTTGCAATGGACCTGGTAGTGGAGAAACGGCCCCTTAAGGCCAATAATCTTAGGCGGCGATCTTCACGGTCTGTTGTTCTACGACGGCGTCCAGTGCCCCTTGCTCTTTGCGTACGGCCTTCTCGAAGCCATGCCTGACAACACCTAACCACAGTTTCTACACTTCTTTGCACTCTAACTGCAATTGCCCGAAAAGAAAGTCCAGCTTCCCGAAGTCCCACTATACGGCCCCTATCAAACTCACTAAGTTGACGAAATCGTACAGGTCTCCGTACTCTAGGCATCGTAACCGATGCGATTTATATGTCACTTAGTATAGATGGATTTAAACAGTTTATTATTATTTGTGTCAATATTTATCAAATACGCATCTAAGCTTACCGTAATCAGCAACTTTGATGTGCACCGGATGATCTGGATGATCTACAAACGGTGGCGGCATTTCCCAGACGAGTACGTTTTCAGATTTCAAATCCCTGTAGATGATGTGTTGCCGATGCAGATATTCGATGGCTTTGGCAACCTACGCAATAGAATTTCCGTATTTGAACATTACGAGTATAGTGCAGCAGCTGTTGGACTAAAACCTATGCGATTTGTGTAGCTATCAGCGTTTTTTTTCCTCAGCTCATATCACACGAGAACTATGACAAACATAAGAACTCCTCCATATCATGACTATTCTGTGTGATTTTGTTTAAATATATTGAAGTGAAGACTCTGGATAGAAATGGCATTTCACCCGTGTGTGCGAATCTGTGCAATTCAAAACACTTAGGTTCATCTTTATCCACCATTGTTAGAAGTTTAATATACAGGGTGTCCCAGAAGTCGACGTCAAGCCGAAACCGGGTGATAGTCAAAGTCAGATATTAACTTTTTTTGGATTTTATTTTTACAATGTAATGATGAATAATGCATCTTCAAACTGGTGTCTCAACCTTACTGCCAACTTTTCTCGTTCAGGAAAAATTGCCACTTATTTCCCAACCAAGTATTCCAAAGTAAAACTTTGCTCAACTTTAACTGGCTGTACTGGAAAAAATGTACTACGACAGTTTGGCAAGTAACCTTAAAAGTTGGCGCATTTAATAAGGATTCCAAAATGGTATAACACTTAGAAGATTACTCGTTAACTTATGAACAATTTTTATTTGAAGAAAAACTGATGAAAATTTTTCAAAATTTCCTAATTAAACAGCGATTATGAAAGCGCACAAGGGCCCTTAAGGATAACTGTTTGCACAATAGTGGGCGTCAGAATGCTGCTGATGATGATTTACCTTTACAGCAAATGCTCAAACTGTTTTCCTTCAGCCACAATACACGCTCGACATCATCTTAAAAAAGATCGGGTTATTAAACGAGTGAATCCACTATTATTAACAAACTCAGCTGCTTCCAATAGTCTTTGCCGTAGCTCAGCTACATTTTGAATCGGCTTGAAATACACTTTTTCTTTTACAGTTCCCCAGTAAAAAAAATCTAACGGATTCAAATCTGGTGACCGGGCTGGCCACGGTATTGTACCAGACCGCCCTATCCATCTGCCTGGAAAGTTTTGATCGAGATACTCTCTCACTGAGAGTACATAGTGCGCTGGGCAGCCATCATGCTGAAACCACATGTCCCTGTAAATACTCAGTGGCACGTCCTCCAATAAATTTTCTAAATGATTTTGCAAAAAACCTAAATAAACCTCAGCAGTCAAAGTCTTTGGGAACTCAAACGGACCGATTATTTTACCATTTAAAATTCCTGTCCAATGGTTTATCTTGAAGCGATATTGAGATTTATCTTCTCTCATCAAATGTGGGTTTGCTACGTGCCACTCCTGTAAGTTATGCAGGTTCATGTACCCATTTTTCTTAAATGTGGTCTCATCTGACCATAAAATTTTTTCAAAGAACCGTGGATCTTCCCTGTGTCTTTCTAACATTGTGCGACAAAAAGCAACTCGGGGCTCATAATCCCGGGGCAGAAGAGCTTAAACACGCTGTACGTGATATGGATGGAGCACGTTTTTTTGCAAGATTCTATGGGCTGTACTTTTGGGCACACCTGTTTTTAGTTCTATTGCACGCACTGAAGTACTCGGCTCTTCTTCGACAGCTCCTAGCACCACGTCTTTGTAAGGAAGGAAAGATCTTCCCTCACCGTGTGATTGGTTTGGTAGTTGGCCCTCTGAGAACAGTAAGCGGTGCACATTTGTGAACACTCGATGATCTAGATGACGAGCTGCATTCGGGTACCTCTCACAGTAAAGTCTCGCTGCAGCATTAGCGCTGCATCTGCATTCCCCATAAATGAGGTGCATGTTAGCATATTCTTGTACGGTGTACACGGACATAGCGGCACTGCACAATCACACTATCAAAGATAGTCTAAGGAAAGCAAATGTTGTTTTGAAGAGCAATTAAACAGTCCAAATCCAAATCACAAGCGATCAACAGTCCAGTTCACGAATCCAAAATTAGTAACAGTACGAAATCAACAAGCACGAACATGTAAAGATGCGCAGTAAACGAAGGAGTACTGATCGGTATCAAAGTGTGCAATAGCAAGTTAAGTGATGTCCTTCAACCATACCACATACAGCGTGTTCAACCTCTCCTGCCCCGGGATTATGAGCCCCGAATTGCTTTTTGTCACACAATGTTAGAAAGACACAGGAAAGATCCACAGTTCTTTGAAAAAATTTTATGATCGGATGAGACCACATTTAAGAAAGATGGGTACATGAACCTGCATAACTTACACGAGTGGCACGTAGCAAACCCACATTTGATGAGAGAAGATAAATCTCAATATCGCTTCAAGATTAACCATTGGACAGGAATTTTAAATGGTAAAATAATCGGTCCGTTTGAGTTCCCAGAGACTTTGACTGCTGAGGTTTATTTAGGTTTTTTGCAAAATCATTAAGAAAATTTATTGGAGGACGTGCCACTGAGTATTTACAGGGACATGTGGTTTCAGCATGATGGCTGCCCAGCGCACTATGCACTCTCAGTGAGAGAGTATCTCGATCAAAACTATCCAGGCAGATGGATAAGGCGGTCTGGTACAATACCGTGGCCAGCCCGATCACCTGATTTGAATCCTTTAGATTTTTTTACTAGGGAACTGTAAAAGAAAAAGTGTATTTCAAGCCGATTCAAAATGTAGCTGAGCTACGGCAATAACTATTGGACGCAGCTGAGTTTGTTAATAACCGTGGATTCGCTCGTTTAATAACCCGATCTTTTTTAAGAAGATGTCGAGCGTGTATTGCGGCTGAAGGAAAACAGTTTGAGCATTTGCTGTAAAGGTAAATCATCATCAGCAGCATTTTGACGCCCACTGTTGTGCAAACAGTTATCCTTAAGGGTCCTTGTGCGTTTTCATAATCGCTGTTTAATTAGGAAATTTCATAAAATTTTCATCAGTTTTTTTTCAAATAAAAATTGTGCATAAGTTAACGAGTAATCTTCTAAGTGTTATACCATTTTGGAATCGTTATTAAATGCGCCAACTTTTAAGGTTACTTGCCAAACTCTCGTGGTACATTTTTTTCCAGTACAGCCAGTTAAAGTTGAGCAAAGTTTTACTTTGGAATACTTGGTTGGTTGGTTCTATATCTTTTTCAAAGACCTATAATTTTCAAAACACATACATAAATTTTTTTTAAATATTTTTCTGACAGCTGTTATGACTTTGCCTATCACCCGGTTTCGGCTTGACGTCGACTTCTGGGACACCCTGTATACCTTCGAACCCTAATCTTCAATTTCTTGAGATTTCCAAAAAAGGTACATAACAAAATTCTGACATTCAGGTAACATCGCAGGTAATTTTATTTCAAATCCTGAATTATCATTTGAGTTGACGTTGAACACAACTGACCTGTGTGTTGTGTCTGCTTTTTATCAGTGCATTAATGGTAAAACAGGCCCTAAGGGTGCATTTCACCAACTTTAATATTTGACGGTCACTTGAACCAATATGGGAAAAGACCTTATCGAAATGCAATTTTACGGAAGCTTTCAAAGCTCTCTGAATATCAGCGATTTCTATTGAAATATTAAATAAAATAGTGAAAAAGCGATCGTATTTGTAGAGAGAAAATATGACTACTTTCATGTATTTTGCAATTTACAGATAACGGAGGATCTAATCAATCCACCAATACAAATGCAAGAAATAATAGGTCGATTTTTTAGCTGTTATCTTTAATACGATGTTTTAACTGTTTCTGACGAATGTCACCATGCATGGCATTCTAGTTTTGTCTCTATATCGCATAAAGGATGTTGTACATAATACGTACCCGTACAAATATATCGATGTTTTTTATTTGAAAAAAAAGGATATTAAACGTATTCCAACTGGTTTATGAACTTTTGTTATATCAAAAACAATTTATTACCAATTTATGATCTAGAAATGCACACCTAATGTAAACAAACAGCGCATCCTGCATACATGGGTCCTAAAACACTGATATTTGTAAATGTATCCGCATTCACCTATTCTTATAAGTCAGAATAAAAGATAACTAAAGGGTTGTCCAATAGGGACGCAGGAAAGTAAACGTCAATTTGACATAGACGCCATCTTTGTTTTCTGTCACCGACATGTCATTTTGTTAGTTGAATGTTTACCATTGATCGCTATGGAGTCGTATTCGATTGAAGACCGCATTAAAGTTATTCAAGAGCACTACAAAAATGGTGCAAAAATAAAAAACACGTTTCGCGCGCTTCGTGAACATTTCGGTCGCAACAACCGCCCAAACGAAACAACCATCGGTCGTCCGGTGCGTAAATTCGAGGCAACAGGTTCTGTGGCAAATCTGCCAGCCTCTGGCCGGCTAAGGAGCGTTCCGGAAAATATTGCTGTTGTGAAGGAGAGTGTGAGAGACGATCCGAAACAATCAACAACGCGCCGATCCCAAGAATTGGGCATTTCGAGAACCAGCTTGCTCCGCATTCACCACAAGGATTTGAATGTACACGCCTACAAGATCCAATTGACGCAAGAGCTGCGTCGGGCCGACCATTTTTCGCGCCGAACGTTCTCAGATTGGCTCCTTGAACACCGCCAAATTGATGCCAATTTTTCATCAAAAATCATGTTCAGCGACGAAGCGCATTTCACTTTGAATAGAACGAAAATCCCCGTGAGTATCAAGAGCAGCCGATGCATCCTCAAAAAGTGACTGTGTGGTGTGCATTGTGGTCAAAAGGCATCATCGGACCTTACTTTTTCGAAAATGCGGCCCGGGGACGCCGTTACCGTCAATTCTGAGCGGTATCACGTGATGATAGAGGACTATTTTTTGCCGCAACTTGAAGGAATGGATATGGACGATGTTTATTTCCAACAAGACGGTGCTACATGCCACACAACCAACGTCAATATCCATCGATTGCAGTCCTTCTTCGGTGATCGCGTGATGTCGCGCAGAGGAAATGTGCCATGGCCACCAAGATCGTGCGATTCGACTCCCTTGGACTTCTTTTTATGGGGATATTTGAAAAG